AACCACTGGTGGTGATCACTGGAACCCAGTGACACCCAGGCCACCCCCTGCCCTGCCCTCTGCTCGGACACCTGGGTATTACAGTTCCAAAGGGATGCAGCCTGGGCCCACCTAGGTATGTCCTGATTCTCTCTCCCCTTCTCACTCATTCTCTCGCCCACCATTATAAATGGGGCTGGAGTGGGAGGGGGGATCTCATGCCGGATACATGGGGTCGGAGGGGGGTCCAACACTGACCCCCAACTCCTGTTCCCATTTGGGAGATTTTGCCTTTTTTTTAAATAGGAAAACTAATTACTGTGAATTTTCCTTTTAAAGTGTCTTAAAGTCACATTTTCCATCCAAGTGCTTGTCCCAGTGATGGTTTAACCAGCGCTGTTCGCCCCCGAGCACTTGCCGCCCGTGTGAGTTGTATTTGAGAAGTACGGTAACAGCAAGATTTGGTTAGTAATTAGTAAGCAGGGCTGGAGACTGGCATGTCCCAACCCCCATTATTAACAGTGAAAAGACGATTGCGCTGTGTTGCAGAAGGCACACAACGGATTCTATTTACTCTTGCTTGGCTCTTTGTTCATCTGTAAGTGCCTGGCCTTGCAAGTACAACCACCAAGCGAGGCCCCATGGCAGGAACACAGATGGACTCGCACATTTCACTTTAAGCACGTGCTGAACCCATTGACTCCCCTGGGCCTTACGCACGTACCTCACTGCTGTCCTGAACGGCGCTGCTGTCCTGCCTCCGGGCCAGAACGCTCAGGGTCGTCCCACCCCCAGCAGCCAGCCCCACGCGTCTGCAGGGCCGGGAAGTTCTAGCAGCTAGAAGGGGCTTCCCTCAAGTAAACCAGTGTCGGCAGGATCCAACTCGCCGACATTTCGAGGCCTCTGCAGCTGGTTACGTGAGTGCAAGAAATAACAATAGTTCAGGACACTGAGCCAAAGCTCCCTGCAGTCAGTCAATAGCCTCCTGCGTGGTCAGCGGGCTGTGGACCAGGCTCTAACAGTGGGAGAGAGAGGTCTGGGGTGTGACGACATGGGACTGTTCTTAATGTTTCCTCTGAATACTGTGTGGGTGCCTCAGTTTCCCCTATGCATTTCTTAAGTCTCTGGTGTGCATAAATGGCTGACAATCTGTCTCCTAGCAACAAATGGCCAGGGACCTTCTCCCCTTGCAAGGAGATGCTAAAGGTGAACAAAGAGATCAGGTGACCTCCTGGCCCGGGAAAGAGACAAAGCCCAGAGGAGGAGGGGCTGGAGGGATTTTTTCAGGTGGGGCTGGCTGGGGACGGGGAGTGAAGTGCAGATGGGGTTGTCTGGCTCGCTAGACCCCAGAATGGAACCGGCTGAGGGGTCCCGTTCGCTGTACCTACAAGCTCTGTTTTAGACCGTGTTCCTGTCCTCTAATAAACCTTTGCTTTACTGCCTGACTAAGAGTCACGTCTGACTGCAAAGTGGGGGTGCAGGACCCTCTGGCTGCCCCAGGACCCCGCCTGGGTGGACTCGCTGTGGGAAGCGCACGGAGGAGCATATGCTGAATGCTCCAAGGTCAGACCCAGGAGGTGAAGCCGTGTGAGCTTCTTGCCCTGAAGACAGTCTGCTCCAAGGGATAGGAGGCTCCCCAAAGTCCTGCCTGGCTTCGTGGGGAGCAGTTCCAGAGCATCGCCCAGGGACTCCGTGACATGGGGCCAGGTTCAGGGATGACTGACTCTGGCCTTCATCCCGTGCCCCCAGAGTTGGGGCCCAGAGGGAGCAGAAATTAGTCCTTAGGGAGAAAACGTCTAACTACCGACCAGGGCTGGGATCTTCCAGCAAAGCTGAAGGAAGTTCGGTGCCTGAAGCCCCTGGAATGTCGCTGCCTGTCTCTAGTCGGCCTCTCTGAAACCCCCACCCTGTAGCTTTCCGGATGATCCTGCAGTCACGACTGCATCCTGACACATCTGCTAACAGGCCGATGCAGCCGACATGGCCACACCAGGGATGTGTAAGAACAATCATACTTTGAATAGGAAAAAAGCCATTTCTATTACTCCCAACGTATTATTATTATTCCCATAATGCAGCAACACCACAAGTAGACGTTCCCGTTTAACTGTTTCCATTTTCCCACCCTACGTCTGAACCTTGGCTGCCCAATTGCAGTTCTGAAGTTGTGCTTTTAACAGGGGGAATTTTCAGGTAAGAACGTGGGTGAAAACACAGGTAACATTGGCCAGATCCTGCCCCCAGTGCAGTCAGCAGCCAACCTCGCCCGAGCGGATGGGGGTTGGAATAGATCCTACCTGTCAGGGAGCCCTCGAGCCTGCTAAGCACATTGAGTGCACTGGCTCCAAACCACCCAAGCAGATGATTAACTTTAATTACATGACTCCAGGCATTGGCTTCAATGGGACGACTCAGACGCTTCCAGTTAGTGCCTTAGCGGGCTGGAGCCAGAATGCTCAGCACCTTGCACATCTGAGCCCAGACACGGGAACCCAAGTTTAGGCCAAGCATCCTTGGGTTCTGCTAACAGAACAAAAGCATCTGACTACAGGGGCTTTCTTGCCCTGTGTGTGTCTTGTCCGTTCCGACTGCGAGTTCCTTGGAGTGGGGGGTGCAGGGCACACAGGATCAGGCCCACGTTTAGTAAATGGTCATGGGAACTACCGGGAAAAGACGAGAGGAGAAAGCCTGCTCCCTGGATGGAAGTTGGTAGATATGTAGCGCCCCAGAGCACGTTGCGAAGGGGAGGGTGCGACTCTCAGATTTCCCTCTCCTACAAATGAATCACTGAGACTCATCCTTAATGATGGTGGCACGACTGCTCCACTACAATAGCGGGTGACAGCGAAGAAAATTAAGCTCAGGTGACATTTAAGGTGTGACAGGAAAGTCACTATTAAAGCTGATGATCTGTGCATTAAATCACAGACAGTTTTTCTTGGGAGGGAGGGAGGGATTCTAGCCACGGCGCAGAGGAAGGTAGATTTCAGTGCATAAAACAGCCTTTGACATTTCTATGAGGTCTGCAGGGCATTCTAAGTGGGATCTCAAGGAGCCTTACAAGTTGGGGACACCACCAGTGTGCAGCCACCTCTGGGGTGGAGCGTGGCAGCTTGGCGGAACACAGAGAGTGGGTGAGGGCAGAGGAGATTTTGCCAGGTGCTGGAGTAAACCCCTGTGAAGAATATTTCAGTGTCAGGGTGGCAGGAGAGAATGAATAAGCCTTAACATTGCGAAGGGAATTTAGCTCTGGTAAAAGGTGCTGGATTGGCCGCCCTGGAGACTGATGCCACCTGTGTATGTGCAGAGCTGGTGCCACATGGGCTGGCACACACTGACCCTGCTGATGGGATGCTGCCCGGGAGATAAGGAGGGACCATTCTGATCATCTAGGCTGGTGCCTGCGTAACACAAGCCGGAGACCCTCACCCAGGGCTTCCTGCACCCAGCCCACAACCCCTGTCTGGATTTAAGTTCCACTTTCCATGGCCCTGCCAGTCCTTTGGCCTCCTGAGACAGCAAATCCCGGAGTAAATACAACACTCTATAATGCAGAAGCAAGAAGAAGAAATAACCTTTCGTGTCACACTTCTCCTCCTTGGCTCGCCAGGCTCTTGACACAGGAGGGTTCTATTGCCCCCATTGTACAGATGGGGAAGTAGAGGCTGCGATTGCCCAGGGTCTCTGCCGGTTTACAGAAGGCAGTGGGCTCTAGTGGCTAGTGCACTGGACTCAGTCAGGTGAGGCTGGTTCTAGTCTCAGCTCTGGCCGTGTGCCCTTGGGCAAATCGTGGGGCCAGTTTCTCATCCTGCTACCATCCGGGGAAGGAATACATCTGATAGCAGAGGATCCCAGCGTTCCCCTCTGGCCTGAGCAGCGCTGGCTCTACAAATCAGCTGTGGTTTGGGTGAAGTAACATCCCTCTGCCCGGAGCTCCCGGAGACCCCCCAAACTCATCGCACCGCACAGGTTAGCCTTGTGACAGGCAGCTGCACATGCGCAATGGCCAAGGCAATAAGCAGTGGGGTACAACTGTTCGTTGCAAAAAGGGCCCCAGACCCCTCAGCCCACGTGTCCCTGGCAATCCCTGGGGCGGGAGGCGAGCGGGCCCCAGCACGGGGTGTATCCAGACCCGGGTCAGCCAGCCCGGGAGAGGCTTGCGGGAGGGACGCGGCACACAAGTCAGCCGGGACTATCTCCCGCGGAAACCGGCCCGTCGCCCCGGCGCTAGGCGGGCAGAGGGAGCGCGGGACCCGCGCCGAGGCAGGCGCAAGGCGGGTCCCGCACGCCCCAGATCAGCGCCGGCTCTGGCGCAGTTAGCAGGCGAGGGGCAGGAACCCCCGGCTGGTGTCCGCAGCCGCCGCCCCGGGGGCTGGGAGCGGGCCGAGGGCTCCCCTCCATCCCAAACAACTCCCCAGCGTCCCGCAGGCTCCCGCGCCCCCGAGGCAGAGACCAGCCGAAGGGACTCGCCGCTCTCTGAAACCCCCAAACATGTCCCAGCCTGAAGGTATCCCCACGGGGGGCGGGACCTTGCCAACCCCAGCCTGTCTCCTCCCTAGCCAGGAGACGTGAGGGACCCCCCACCCCGAGACCCCGCTCCAGCCCCGGGACCCCCCTTCTCCCCCGCCCCGGGACCCCACCCCGAGACCCCGCTCCAGCCCCGGGATCCCCCCTTCTTTCCCCCCCTTCACCCCCAAACCCGCCTCGCCTGCCCCCCCCCCCCGGAAGCTGAGACTCCAGCTCTTCGAACAGAAACTTTTTGATAAGGGGGGGGAGAGAATCGGTCTAGAAATAAATTCTCCTTCGCAACTTCCAGCTCTCGGGGCTGGGCTCGGCCCCTGCCCCTGCCCCTGCCCAGCGCTGGGAGCCTGGAGACCCGCGAGCCATCGGGCCCGCCAGGCAGGAGCCAGTCCCAGGGCTCGGGGGGCCGGGCTGCCCCTGCCCCGTGCGGGGTCGCTCCGGTCGCCCCGAGGGAGGGGGCCGGGCTGCCCCCCGGGGGGCCGCGGCGCCCCCGCACCCACCTGCCCGTTCTTGCACAGATCCGCCCACATGCTGGTGCCGTCCCCGCCGCGCATCAGCACGTGGTAGGTGAAGAAGTAGGTGCCCGGGACGCTGCACGTGAACTTGCCCGTGGCCGCCTCGTAGCTGTTGCCCAGGTTGGTCACCACGTCGTCGAACTTGAGGATCTCGTAGCCCTCGTGCGGGTTCTTGAGCCCGGCGTAGAAAGCCACGCGGGGCGCGGTGCTGTACGTGGCGGTGCTGAAGGCTCCGCTGCCCCCCGCCGGGCCGGGCGGGCCGGGGGGTCCCGGCTTGCCGGGCTCGCCCTTCTCCCCGGGCGGGCCCATGGCCCCCGGCGGGCCCGGCTCCCCCGGCGGCCCCGGCTTGCCCGGCCGGCC